TCCATGCAGCATGCAAGTTGACTCCGGTTCATCGATGACAGTCATCTCTTCAAGGACGTGGCAGTGGCTATTCCCAACCCAGAGTCGGCGGCGGTTGAAGCCAGCAGACACCCGGGTATCTGGTTTTCAGGGGAAACGTATCCCTCTGGCGGGGAGGGATACCTTTAGTGTTGAGTTTAAGGGGAAATGTGCCACATTATCTCTGATGGTTGCTGAGGGAGACCGAGTTAATTTGCTTGGCCTGGATTGGTTTGAACCCCTGGATATTGCAATTACCGGGGTAAACAGTGTTGTTGAGAATAAATGGGCACTGTTGTATGCGGAGTTCCCTGAAGTGTTTGGGGGCGGTTTGGGAAGGTACAACAGGCTCCCGGTGTCGTTCAAACTCGATCCCTCCGTGACCCCGATCCGATTGAAATATTGGAAGGTGCCTATCTCGCTCAAACCCCGGATCGAAGCAGAGCTGGACAAGCTGATCGAGCAGGGGGTGCTTGAGCTGGTTCCATTTAGCAAATGGGAAACAGCAATAGTGACGCCGGTAAAGTCAGACGGGTCGGTGAGAATTTGCGCTGACTATAAGTGCACGATTAACCGTGCCTTACAGCAGCACTCTTACCCCGTTCCTGTCATCAGCCACAATCTGGCATCTCTGGGGGGAGGGAAGGTATTTGCCAAGCTTGACTTAGCGCAAGCGTACCAGCAGCTGCCAGTGACTGGGGAGGCAGCAGAAGCCCAAACTATCGTTACCCACAGAGGGGCTTTCAGGGTCAACAGACTCCAGTTCGGGGTAAATGTCACCCCAGGGATCTTTCAGGGGTTGATGGAGGGCTTACTAAGAGGGGTGCCAGGCACGGTACCATATTTTGATGATGTGCTGATTGCAGGGGGGTTTGATCAAGAGCTCATGGAACAGGCAAGAGCAGTGTTGGAGCGTTTCAAGACTGCTGGCCTCAAGGTAAAACAGTCTAAGTGCCTTGTAGGAGTTCCAAGTGTGGAGTTCTTGGGGTTTCGGGTAGACGAAAATGGTGTCCACCCCACAGAAGACAAGGTGGCGGCAATTAAGAATGCCCCATGACCCCTTAACAAAAAGGAGCTCCAGTCCTTTCTAGGACTATTAAACTTCTACCACGCTTTTCTGCCACACAAAGCGTCGGTGGCGGCTCCATTACACGCACTCCTCCACAAGGACGTGAAATGGAGGTGGGGCTCGGAACACGAGGGGGCTTTCAAGGGAGTCAAACCCTATTGTCATCAAACGCCGTCCTCACGCACTATGATGAACAGAAACTGTTGGTGCTGGCGGCAGATGCGTCTCCATTTGGGGTGGGGGCAGTCCTCAGCCACTTAATGCCAGACAGCAGTGAAGCCCCGTCACGTTTTATTCGAGGTCTCTATTGGCCACAGAAAAAAACTATGCACAAATTGATAAAGAGGGTCTGTCACTCGTCTCTGCAGTCAAGAAATTTCATGACTTTTTGTTTGGACAGAAATTTCTTTTGGTAACAGACCACAAACCATTGTTGGGGATCTTTGCCCCGGACCGGCAAATCCCCAACATACTGTCGCCTCGAATGTTGCGGTGGGCGATCTTCCTCACCGCGTACGATTATGACCTTGAGCACAGGCTGGGCAAGGTGATTGGACATGCGAATGCCCTCAGTCGCTGCCCTCTACCCGGCCAGGACGTGGACCCTGCTCCAGCTAGCACGGTGCTAGCCATTGATGAACTGCCTCAGGCTCCAATCTCCTCCACGGACATTGCTGCTGCAACAGCGAAGGACAGTGTACTCGCCCGAGTTTTAAACTGGGTGTGGAGGTGGCGGCCAGCAGGAACTGTGCAGCCGGAGTTCAAACCTTTTCAGGGGTGCAAAAATGAGCTTTCAGTGTCGAAAGGGTGTGTTTTGTGGGGTAACCGGGTGGTGGTGCCCCTCAAACTCCAAGAAAAGGTGCTGGAATCACTGCATGAGGGCCATCCCGGCATGGTCCACATGAAGGCGTTAGCCCGGGGGTATGTGTGGTGGCCCGGCTTAGACACCGACATTGAGGAGTAGGTCAGGGTTTGTATGCCATGTCAGCAGGCCAGGCCCGAACCTCCTACCGCCACTCCGCAGAAGTGGGAATCTGCAGGGAAGCCTTGGTCCAGGCTCCACTTGGATTTTGCGGGGCCTGTTCAGGGACAAATGTTCCTTATCGTTGTTGACGCGTACTCAAAGTGGTTGGAAGTTGCGCACATGCACTCCACCACTTCGATCTCCGTCATCAACGTGCTGCGTCGCTTGTTCTCCACCCACGGGCTACCGGACGTGTTGGTGAGTGACAACAGGACGCAGTTTGTCTCTAGGGAGTTCGACCAGTTCCTATCCGACAACGGGATTAGGCACCTGACGTCGGCTCCCTTCCACCCGGCTTCTAACAGCCAGGTGGAAAGAATGGTCAGGACGACCAAGGAGGCCCTTGCAAAGCTAACGCAGGGCGATTGGGGGGTAAAACTGGCCTCATTTTTGCTGCGCCAGCACGTTACCCCGTGCTCAGCCACAGGCCGCAGCCTGGCCGAGCTGCTGATGGGGCGTCACCTTACCACCTTATTAGATCGCCTTCATCCAGATCTGAAAGATCTAAAGCCCCAGCAGCAGAGTGCGCTCCCTAAGGTCCGCACTTACGAACCAGGCGACAAAGTGTTTAGTCGTAACTATGCAGGGGGTCACTCGTGGCTACCAGCCATTGTAACTGAGTGTCTTGGTTCAAGAATGTATGTGGTTGAGCTTGTAGATGGATGCAAGTGGCGACGCCACATACACCAGCTTAGGCAGTGGTGGGCAAAGGAACGCCTAGACTCCCAGCCGGCTGAGTCCCCCGAACCAGTGGACCGTCCCAGACCTCCTCCAGAGGTGAGTACTGCCAAGCCCAGTACTGTCCCAGTGATAGGGCAGACCCCTAACTGCGGACCCGCAACACAGGACGGAAGTGTACCTGACTCACTTCCTAGTGAGTCAAGCGGAGTCCCCCAAGCTGAGCTGAGTCCTGAGCCTACACAGCTACGTAGGTCTCAGCGGGTGCGCCAAGCACCGACCTACCTAAGTGATTACGAGTGTACATGATTGTTTTTACTTAGGGGGGAGGAATTGTAGTGTATTCAAAGCTGCCTTGAATGCATGATATGTTGTGAAACATCTAATTGAAGTGTAATGTAAAGCTTCGTCCTGGGCTAGGATCCAAATCCAACCAATCGTGGTACTAGCCCAGGAAGCACCTAACCAATCACTTTCAAGCAAGCTCCCTGAGCGGGAACATCCGTGATTAGTCCTTATGTGAACAACCTTATTGGTTGGTATCTGTACAGTGGGTGTGGCTACATTAGCCGGAAATGTTTAAAAGCAGGACAGCTGGAATGTAAAGGCTGTTCTGGCTATCAGATGTTGATCCGTGTTGGAGTTGTGTTCGAGATGAAGAATAAAGTTGTGTTCTTGCTGAATCACTCTCCGACTTCTTTGTTAAGCCAGCGACTTAACACTCCCCCAGGTCTTGTTAGGGGCTCTTTAAAAAGTTATGGCTGCCCGCGGCGGCAGGAGGGGTAATGGCGGCGGCAGCGGGGGGAGGGGCACGAAATGTTTTCCCGCTTCTCTGAACCCCAGGGTGGTGGCCTTGGAGTCCTAGGGGCAAATTCCACCTCTCGCGTGTGAGCCGCTCGGCCATCACACGCAAGACGTCATTCTGGCTCCTCCAGGTCTTGTTAGGGGCTGTTAAAAAAATTATGGATGCTGGCGGCGGCAGCAGCGCTAATGGCAGCAGCAACGGGGGGTGCGAAATGTTCCCCCGCCTCTCTGAGCCCCGGGGTGGTGGTCTTGGAGTCCTAGGGGCAAATTCCACCTCTGGCATGTGATGGGGTCATTCTGGCTCCCCCAGGTCTTGTTGGGGGCTCTTTAAAAAGTTATGGCTGCCCAAGGCAGCGCAGGGGCGGGGCGAGAAATGTTCCCCTGCCTCTCTGCAAACTGTGGACGTGATTTTTGTGGTGCCCCCTATAGATTAACACATGGCCTACAATATGATGGTAGTTTTATTTCGTTTCAATGTAAAAATCATATGCATTCATGAGGATCCATGTAGATCCGACTTTTACCTTTTACCTTTTGCAAGTACCTAAGCTAAGATTTAAACATCTTTTTTTTTTTTTGATGCAGCAGTCTTTAAACCTAAAAATTCGTGATTGGCCCACAGTTGCTCAGTACCCTTCACTAGCACTTCTTTCAGCGGTTTCTGCCCTCCGTTTGTCAGGCTCCATTTAACAGTGGTTTCCTAGTTGCTCCAGAACGCCTCATCTTCAAAGATGGCTCTAGCCTCGGTTCCCCTGTCACACACGAGGCTTCATCTCTACGCTCTCTTCACTCCTGCTGCTCACACGCAGCCTTTCGAAAGTCTCCCGTTCCTTCAAACGACTCTGCTTTTGCTGTCCCGCACGTCCGAATAATCTCTCACAACACCAGGGCGGTGCCACAAAATCTCTCTTCAAAACCCACGTTTCCCACCTTCCCTGAGCTCCCTTCGCCTACTGAAAAGGAGCCTAAAGCACGTGGGACTGGAACGAACGCCGCTTCTTCCGCTGAGATTATTCCTCGCTTCCGTCTCCTTCATATCAGTTTCCATAGGAAGCGCTTCGGGGCAGGGAGCTGCGTTCCCGAAGAGATGAGGGCAGAAATGCATGTTGGCAGCTTGGGGGGGGGTCATGAAGAAATTTAGAAACAGACAGCTGCTGCACCCTGGAAGAGGAGCACTGGCACAAGTGGGTGGAGACTGTCCCGGAAGGAGGCAGCGCTTTCTGCACATCACGTGGCCTTTAGGGGCGGAGCAGGGAGGGGACGTGGCAAAACTAGTATACACATCCAGCTCCTGCGTGGAGGGAGGGGCGGCCGGCTAGCCAATCAAGGAGTCTGTAGGGCGTGGCTTCTGGGCTCTGTGAACGCGGTCTGTTCTCTTTTGCCTCTCCCTTTTAGCGCGTGCGCGCGGGGGTGGCTTGCTGAGTCTCCTCGGAGAAAAGGGAGCTGGAACGAGGGGGTGCCCAATGGCGGCGCGCTGGGAAGTGGTGCGGAAGCCGAGCCGTCGGGGCCCAGGAGGCGGCGGCGGGCCCGGGGGGCGGAAAGCGCTGGGCGAGGCCAATGGGGGCCGTGGTCTGGCCCCGCCCCGTGAGTATGGGGAAGATGGGGGATGGGGCTGTGTTGCTGGAGAGTGGAACCTCCCTGTAGTAAGGCAGTCTACCCTGATGTATGAGAGCTGGATGGGGGAGTGCGTTGGCCGCACCCTCTCGGTTTGGGGGTTTTGTGTGTCTCAGTTGGGATGACAGCTGAGGCTAACGCAGTTGGGTTCTCAAGCAATCCTGTTATCCCACCTCGTCCTGCGGAGAGAATGGCGGCCAACTGATCTCTGTTTTGCGTTTCCTGTAGTGCCTCTGGCGCCTTCAGAAACCCTCTATGAGCTCGCCTTTGAGAAGACCATGAAAAAGCAGAACAAAGAGCAGGTGCCACCACCCCCTGGGCAGCAGCCGCAACAGAAAAAGCAAAACTCGGGGAAGCCCGCCAAGAAATCATCAGCTGGAGATTCGGGGCACAAACAAGGCCAATTCCGATCATTGGAAGATGCCCTGAAAGCGGTAAGTGGTGCCCTTGTAGAGGTTGAGACCTTTGACTGTGTGCTGTAGGTGACTGTGTAGTCCTGAACAAGTTGTGTTGCTGGGTCTGAAACGACACCTGTGTGGGAGCAAAACTTGTTTACCCAAAGCGAGGGCAAGAACCAGTGCTTTAGACCGCAGCTGGGTGGTGAATGTTAACCGTCTTGCCTTATTGCTTTGTTGCCCCCTTTCTCTGCAGAGAGACTAGTTCAGCTGTTAATATGATTAATGACTTATTGTAGGTAAAGGATTAAAAACCTGCAGAAAGAATCTTTAGTGAGTTTGTCCCTTGGAATGAATAGTCACCTGTAGGTGGAAGCCTGGAAGTAATTAATTTTGGAGCTTTACCTGCAGGTTTTCCTTTACTAAGAAGTCTCCGCTTGAACCAGCTGCATACACATAGTGTGTGTAGCGCCCCATTGCCTCCACCGTGGGAGGGAACATTTGCAGATGATGGGCATGAAAAAGAACACCATGTCTTCAAAGTGTAGCCTGGTTAGTTTGCTGTAGGACTGGGGGAGCGGCAAAGTATTTGTATTTGCTTTTTAAAAAATTGTAAAGTACTTAAAATCCCCTAATCTCTGGAGAAGTTTGGCTTAACAGCTCGGTTACTGAACTTTGGGAAATGATCTTGTTGATAAAAATTTACTACTGCCTCCTCATCCAGTCTCTTGGCTGCTTATGGGGCAATGCCTTTGAAGGGTCATTCTAGTGGTGCAGAAAGAGAAGTCTTTTCTGCCTAGCATTTAACCTACAGCAGCGTTTCTCCTTATTCTGTGTGCATTTCTGTCATCTGATGCGTTTGGTTCACTTTTGGACTCAGAGGCTACTGCAGTTCTTAAAAAAATGTGGCCTGGTAAAAGAGAGACTAGGAAATATCCATTCGGTATATATAGAAAACTTAATTCTAAGAGTTCTGTGTTACAAACCACGTGATTGTCCTTTTCCTCCTGGCTTGAAACTCTTGTAGCACTAGCCTCTCTCAGTCTTGATAATGTTGCCAAGCTGGACCTTGGAAGTGAAAGAGACTGGATTGATCCTGAGAGGTGGGTAGAACACATGGTTTGTAGGCAGCCAGTCCAGGAATCTGTCCTGGATCTTCAGTAGCAGGTGCTGAGGAAGGACTAACCATCCTTTGGACGCTGTGAGTCAGAGTAGGCAAGGCTGAGCTAGATGGACCAACAACTTCACTCCGAAAAAGGCAGTTTTGTACTGCTTCCTCATTTGTATCCCATCTCCGCAAGTCTGCTTGCAGAAGTGTTCCAGATCCTGGCAGTTGTGCCAGTTGCTGCCTTTCCCAATGCTCCTTTAACTCTTCTTTTTTGCAGCTTGATTTGTCAGAACTCCAGAAGGAGCTGGATAAAAGCTTGAGCATGTTCCCTGAGAATCCTTCTGTATGGGCCAAAGACCTAGCTGGATACCTGAACTACAAGCTGCAGGCTCCTAGGAGCGACCCTGCACTTAGCCAGCACCCTCACGGTCAGTGGTGCCTTGAATGTTGCTGTCAGTCAGAGGGGATGTTGTATGAGCCTTGAGAAATCTACCACACCCATATTTCACTTGCAGATGCCTGGCGTATGTGCCTGGTGCTCTTCAAAATGTGTGTGTCATTTGTTGCCTTCAGAGCTCTTGTGCAATGTTTTGCTAAACCAGTAATTCTTAAAGGGGGTGGTGAGAAAAATGTCCTTTTTGAAAAGCCGTTGTCAGCCACCTTTCAAATTCTGCAACCAGAAAATCTAGATTTTTGCAGTTGGAGTGTATCCCATAAATGGGAGAAATTTGCTTGCATTCTTGTGCTTCGTGAATTTGTACAATTTTACAGTTGTTGCAGGGAAGTTCTTTTTTTATTTCATTTTTCTTCAAGGAATTTTTAAAAAAATTACAGTAAAAGTGATACTTGGTATTTGCAAATGCAAGTAGGTATCTCCTTTCTCTCCCTGTGTCCTCTTAAGTGACCCTGGGAATTCTAATGTAGAGTTTGTGTGTTTCATGTGTTGGAAAATAGTCTTTAGTTGTAAAGACTGAAGCTTGATTTTTAAAAAGATTAAATTCTCAGGGTGGTTGTGTATTCTGGATCTTGAAATCACAAATTTTTGCAGTGCCTGGGTCTCAGATTGTTGGATGGTCTTGTTTGGTTTTGGTGCTGATAACTACCACCACCCCACCCAAGAGTGGCAATTCAAAGGCATTCATCTTCCTCTGAGCTGAAGAGCCTTGTTCCAGCCATTCTGTCTGCTCTTGTGTTTACACTGTGCTCAGGACTCCTTCACAAGCCATTAACACTGGAGCAAGTGATCTCTTTGGTGGGGCTTTATTTGGCAAGATACTGAATAACAAGAAGTAAAGGGCATAGTCTGAATGTCTTGGGCTGTCCCTGGATAGAGAGTGTCCAGCCAAGACTGGGGTGCTGTTGGTCCACGGAGAAGCTGCTTGTTGACTGCGGAGCCAGCCTGTCCTGGAAGGGGTTGCAGTCCCCTGAAGGAGCAGTTTCGGAGCTTGGGGGTACAGCTACATCCTGCCCTGCAGTTGGAGGCTCAGGTCTCCTCTGTGGTATGCACAGCACCTATCATCAGCTCCAGCTGGTTTGCCAGCCATGGTCATTCCTCAGAAGGTGTGATCTCTGGCTACAGCAATCCATACTCTGATCACATCCAAGTTAGATTACTGTAATGTGCCCTGAAGGGGGACTGCTTTTGAAAAGGGTTCAGAAACTTCTATTGGTCCAAAATACAGGGGCCAGGCTACTGTCAGGAGTTGGTTACAGAGCTCATATCACCCCTGTGCTGAAAGATCTGCGTTGGCTGTCCATCTGTTATTTCATTTCTCCCCAAATGGCTTGGGGCCAGGGCACACAAAGGACCCTCTCCTCCTATACTATTCAGCTGGCAATTAAGATCTGCCTCCCAAGCCCTGCTTTCTGTGCCCCCACCGTCAGAGGTCAGGTGGGTGGCAACTAGAGATAGGGTTGCCAAATCGTTTTTACCTCGCGGTGGGGGGCTCCCGTTTGGCGTCCTTAGCGGTGCACAAAGCACATGCACGTCAGCAGGGTGTGACGTGATGACGCCGGGCACGCTGGGGGCGGGGCCACAGCCATTTGAGGGGAAAACTCTGTTTTCCCCTGAAAGGGCTGTGGCCCCGCCCCCAGCGTGCCCGGCGTCATCACGTCACATCTGGCTGACGTGTACGCCGGGGCGGGGTTTCTGTGACGTGATGACGCCGGGCACGCTGGGGGCGGGGCCACAGCCATTTGAGGGGAAAACTCTGTTTTCCCCTGAAAGGGCTGTGGCCCCGCCCCCAGCGTGCCCGGCGTCATCACGTCACATCTGGCTGACGTGTACGCCGGGGTGGGGTTTCCCCCGGGGGGATTTGGCAGCCCTAACTAGAGACAGGGTATTTGCTGTGGTGGCACCTCACCTGTGAAACGCATTTCCCTTGAGGCTCCCCTGGTGGCTAATTTTACTTTCATTTAGGCACCAAACTGAAACGCCTGTTCACCCAGGCTTTTAAATAGGGGTTTATCTTACCATGTTTTTAATGGTTTGCTCTGTTTTATAGACAGTTTTAATGCCACTTTTGTTTTAATATTGTAGTTTTAAAATTATATGTTGCGCCTTGAGCAGGGCTCAGATGAGGGAGGTGTAGAAATATCATAAATAAATAATGCTGCCTTTGTTTTCCTGGACTCCAAGTGGGCTTTCTCCTGCACAGCATTTTCCAGCAGGCTGAGCCTACGGATCAAGTCATTTTAAGCTGCCCTGTCCAAAATCCACAGGAATGCAGACGTTGGGGCTTAGCAATAGGCTGGCTTTGGCAACTGTGCAGTAACTTGGACTGAGATGTTCATCTGGTTCTTGGGCCTGGGGGTGGGAGTGGGGGGGGATCTTTGTTAGATATCTCCCTGAATTTTGTAGATTTGTTACTGGTGGACGGGGGCCAGAAGCATTGACTTTAAAAATCTACAGGCTGCTACTGCAGCTGTGTTAAAGTTCAGCATTTGTAATAAAATCTTCAATGGAATATGAGCCTTCCTAGTTGCTTTGGCCACTGCTTTTTGAACCACAACAGGGTGAGCCTTTATAACACTAGAGGGTTTTTTTGTTGTTGTATTTTTCGTGTGTGTGTGTGTGTGTATGCGCACCTGGAAGTCATGGCGACTTCTGGTAAATGACCCCTACTGTAGGCCTGGAGGATATTCAGAGAGGTGGCTGAATAAAGCCTTCCCCTGTCCTCCCAACTGCTGGTATTCCACGGAGGTCTCTCGTCCAAGTACTTGCCGGAGTCGACCCTGCTGAGCTTCCGAGATCTGATGAGATCGGGCTTGCCTGGGCTAAAGGAAGCAGCAGTATTCTCTTCCATTGCATTAGGGTTAGTGTGAGCCTGCAGCATCCACACAGGCTCCTGCCGGTGAATGCAGTCCTTGTGTTAAGGCAACATACAGAGCTGAGGATTTGCCCAGGTCCCAGCCTGGGAAGCAGCTGCTATTCCCTTGAAAACGAGAGCCCCTTATCCAAACCGGTGTTTGTCTCCAAGACCAAAGGTGGGGAAGTTCTGACGGCAATGGGTGTTGACTTTATAAAGCCTTCCTTAATCATGCAGCATTATGATGATGATTACTATCTTGGCTGCAGACTATCCCTACTGTCTTGTGAACAAGGAGCTGAGGAGCATAATCAAGTCCCTGCTGTCGAAATCCGGGGGCGTCCTGGAGCTTTTCTTTGACCACTGTATTTACACAATGTTGCAAGAGCTGGACAAGACGCCAGGTGAGAGCTCAGTGACACTCGGGGAAGAGGCCTTTGGGTGAAAGGTTTCTTACCACGTCTGTTTCCTGGAAGGGCTTGACAAGCAGGGATGGAGCCAGAGTTGTGGGACTGTTGAGGGCAGGTAATGGAGAGGACAGCAGTGGCTGTGACAGACAAGGGAAGAAACCCTGAAGTTGACAGCCATGATTTCTGGAGCTGACTCCTACCGCCTGACCCAGTGGAGCTGCCTTGCTGTGTTTTGGCAACAGGACTGGGCTTTCAGCACTTCCAGCTCCACATGGTGGTTTTATGATCTTCAGCTGTGTTGGGAAGTTGTGTGATTTTTAGGGAGGGAAGCCTCATTTGAGGGGCAGAGGTGGGATTAAAGGTGCAGAAGGAGTTGCACCACCTCAAGACCGGGGGGGGGGGGAGATTTGGGACGGCTTTTTGAGGATCTGAGAAGCAAGAATGGGGAAATCTGTTTATGGAGAAGTGGAAGATGCTTTGCAATGGTGGAGCTCGTGACTTGAGTGCAGCTGTGGCATGCTTGTTGGTTTCCCAGAAAGGCAGGCCAAGGTGTGTGGGGTATGCCTTCTGCCTGGAGAAGCCTGTGGCTTGAGTGAGAGGGTAGAAGTTCCTCTGTTTCTGTCAGTGCTTCAGGGTTTGCGGGCAGGGGAATGCCACTGAGTACAGGCAGGGCCCAAATAGGTGGGTTGCAAAGCCACCCCTCTGTATTGTGTTGGTGGGGGAGCAGGATTCCATGACTAGCTGGGTTCCCCGTTTGGCCAGTCCCACGGTAGCTGCAAATATGTATGATGCATGGACAGAAAGTGTCCAAGTTCCAAACTGGTAATCCCTACACTGTTGTTCCTTATTGTCTTTCCTTGCTCTGCTTGCCTTCCAGGGGAGTCACTGCACGGATACAGGATCTGCATACAAGCAGTACTGTTGGACAGACCTAAAGTTGCCACCGTGAACCTGGGCAAGGTGAGCAGCTGGGGTCGCATAGCCCCAACCGGCGTGAACAGCTTCTCCCGCTTCGGTTTGCTGTGGAAGTTCCTTCACCTCTCTCCACTTCCTTGAGTTCTCAGCTGCTTTTTTAGTTGGCAGAAGCCACTCTTGCACTCCTGTTGTAAAGCAGGTTCACTCCATTTCCTTGCGGGTGACATGGTAGCATCGCTGCTTCTGGCAGCATTCTGTGTGGGCCTTTGGGGGCACTTAGTTTTTCCACCTGGAAGCAGCTCCAGCATTGCTGTTGGAGCAATTCTGGTGGGAAAGGGGCAGGGGGAACTGTTGGGATTTGCAAATTCTCTCTCTGCAGTCATGAAATAATTAACATGTCTGGTTATGCATGCTAATGTCCTAGCCAGTTAAGTTAGGGACCCAGTGGTAGAGCCTCCACAACCAATGGGCAAGGTGACAAAATGCATAATTAGTTAGCACTGGGATTCTCCAATTGGATAATCAATACATTGAGGATGAACTGGAGAGTAAGCACTGGGTTACAGTTTTATCGCTCTTTGTTCGTCTTCTCTAGTTCATTCTCACAGGAGGTTTAGAGACTGTAAAGATGTAGATTAGAGCAGCTAGTCAGACAGGTTGTTTATCCTATGTTTGTTTTCTTTAATCTCTCAATAACCGTTTCCTCATTAGCGAAGTTTTTCTTTTAAATCTAATACAAGCGGTGTGCTGTGTCATTCACTCTGCATAATTTAGACTACACATAACAGGAACTCTAGCAAGGAGAAAGAGCATGTTGATGTCATCGCCTGCTGTACTTGGAAAGCCCACCCCAGAGGGAACAGGGACTCCTGGAGCTCTTGTGGTGTATAAGCACACCAGCATTTGTGGTGTGCAGAGATCATACACTGTGTCCACACTTCTGAATAAGCCTGATGGTGTTTTGTGTTTGAGGACTATAGGTTGTACATTTCACATTAGCAGTTGCTCCTGTAGCTGGGGGAATTTCCCAGAAGGCAACTCTGCATCCTTCCGGCCCTGAGAGTTC